CTAGTAATATATTTACTGAGAAAAATGGTGACGTGTTCAATACTTATTTTACCCGCTGTATATATGTATATGTGTGTAATATACTGTTAGCTCCTGAGCTATCAGTAGCTCCCAAGCTAACATCACATTTTAGTAATATAGCGTTAGCTCCTGAGCTAATATGTAGCGCCCAAGCTAACACCACATATATATTACTAATATCTTTACATATAGTTTTAGCTTCCAAGCTAACACTACGTACATTTTAGTAATATAGCGCTAGCTTCTGAGCTAATATTAGCTCAGGCGCTAACGCGAATGCTAAAAAGGCAGCTCTGTTGTCCTCCATCCTCATTTTCAGTGTCCTGCTGAGTCATTTCTACACTCTTTTTTTCATTATTTCCCATCAATGCTTTGCTGTGTAAATAACATGGCAACGTCTGTGACAATATCTTTTTAACATTTACAACAACTAAACAGCCTACAATCTTTTTACAGTTGAAGTAAATCTTTTTAAAATGTCTAATGCTACAACTGGTCAGGAGATCCCTTTAAAAATAGCTTCTGAGCATTGCACGGTCTGACCTTTAGGGTGGATTTGCTGGGACATTCACTCCTGGAAGATTAGCAGCTGTAAATGTTTCTTTAAGATGATAGTTTTGATTATTAATTTATTTTCAGAAAATTTGATTGATAGTCAGAAACTAAACAAGGCTCTTGTTTTTTTATGTTTTAAACCAATTTTTAATGTCAACCACCATAATAAAAGGCAGCAGGTGAAATGCATTCCTTCAAGGCTTTTATTTATATTTGCAGCAAGTTAATCTTTGCTTTTAAAAATATAAAGTTTTACAAAAACTTTGTTTTTCTTTATGTTGTTGTTCTTGGAGGATGATTTTTGTTGTTGTTGTTGACCCGTTTGCTTGTCGGTGTTGTGTGATGTGACGTTGTGTGTTTGCAGCAGTGGAGACCCACAGCTCCAGCTCCTGTTCTGGTTCGGACGACCCGTTCGCCAGCCCGCCCTCCCCTCCCCCGCCCCCGCGCACCTACAAGCCCTGCTTTGTGTGTCAGGACAAATCCTCGGGCTACCACTATGGAGTCAGCGCCTGCGAAGGCTGCAAGGTGACGCCATCGCCTCCGCCAGGCTCGAAATCCTGCCTTCGAAAATTAAAGGTGTCGTTTACGTTTTTACGACCCTGTTACGTACTTCCACCCTGCAGGGGTTCTTCCGCCGCAGCGTGCAGAAAAACATGGCGTACACGTGTCACCGCGACAGGAACTGCATCATCAACAAGATCACCAGGAACCGCTGTCAGTACTGCCGCCTGCAGAAGTGCTTCGCCGTGGGAATGTCCAAAGAGTGTGAGTGTTTGGTTCTTTTCAACACAAACTGTCATCCCCTGGAACTTTACCAAAACCAGGTCTGTTGGTGGGTCCCATCAGGTCAGAGGCGGAGGGCCGGGGATTGGCCACGCCCCTTTTACATTTTATTTTAATTTTCAGTCCTGAAGAATTTGAGAGCACAACTATTTGTTTGCTGTTTGAACTCTTGTTTGATTTGAACTTGTTTTTGTGTGACACAAACACACTTTCTGTGACAATTAGACGACAACGGGAGCCAATCAGCTCCTTAGGTTAATTAAAGGAATCCAACCACTCATCCAACCATTCACCCATGTATACAGCTATACAGTACATTCATCCAACATCCATCCAACATCCATCCAACCATCCATCCAACCATTCAACCATACATCCACATATACATCTATACAGTACATTCATCCAACATCCATCCAACATCCATCCAACCATCCATCCAACCATTCAACCATACATCTACATATACATCTATACAGTACATTCATCCAACATCCATCCAACCATCCATCCAACCATTCAACCATTCATCCACATATACATCTATACAGTACATTCATCCAACATCCATCCAACCATCCATCCAACCATTCAACCATACATCCACATATACATCTATACAGTACATTCATCCAACCTTCCATCCACCATACATACTGTATATCTATACTGTACATCCATCCAACCATTCATCCAACCACTCATCCAAATACAATACATCTGTAATGTACATTCATCCAAAATCCATCCAACCATCTATCCAACCATCCAACCATTCATCTAACGTACATACATCTATACCGTACATTCATCCAACCATTCATCCAACATCCATCCATCCATCTATACAGTACATTCATCCAACATACATCAAACCTTCCATCCAACCATTCAACCATTCATCCAATATACATAAATACATCTATACAGTACATTCATCCAACATACAGCCAACTATCCATCCAACATACATCCAACCATTTATCTAACCACTCATCTATATACAATACATCTCTACTGCACATCCATCCAGTCACTCGTCTAAGCACTCCATATACCATATCCATCTACATCTATCGTCCACCTACAATCCATATACATCTATACTGTTTATTCATCCAACATCCATCCAACCATTTATCCAACATTCCATCCAACCATCCGTCCATCTGTCAGCCCAATCGTCTACTATCCTTCATTTATTCACGGTCGGGTCAGGGAGACAACGGGTCCAGGATGAAAACCCAGACCTCCCTCTCTCCAGCTCCTCATGATGAATCCAAAGGTGTTCTAGGTCAGAGAGGAGGATCTCTATACGTTTTACTGCAGGTTTTGGATCTGCCGCGGGATCTCCTCCCCTGTGGATACATGCTGGGAAACCCTCCAAATGGAGGCATCAGCTGCTCTAACGACCTCAGTTGACTCTATATGATGAGGAGGAGCAGCGGCTCGACTCTTAACTCCCCACACATGAAAAAGCTCCTCAGCTCACCTCTAAGAGTGCGAACACTTTACAGAGAAAACCTGTTTTAGTCGCTTGTATCCAAGATCTTTTTTATTTGGTTACGATCTATACCTCATGACTGTAGGTGAGAGGTAGAACGTAAACGGATCAATAAATCAAGAGCTTTGTCAAGAAGATGCCGGTCCACACTAACGCCCTCGTTATTATCTGTATTTACTCAGATAAAAAATACAAAACATTGAGATCAAAACGTCTTTTGCAAGGGGTGACCTGTCCAATAGCCCATGTCACAAAACATTGATCAAAAACAGTTCTTAGTTCTGTGTAGAAAAGAGCACCGATAAGACGGAACCAAATCCAGTTGGAGAAAATCCAAAGATTTAATCATTTAAAACAAGCTCTGCATGTTTTCCCACTCCGTCTCAGCATCACTCGTGAACAAGACTCCCACATAATCCCAGATCAAGACAAACAATTGAATTTCATTTACATCTAGGCCATCTTCACAGCACCGGCAAAAGTTTTTGGGCGACGTGATCCAAAACCGTGTTGGTCAGCGTTACATCAACGCTTGACAAGCATCGTGAACTCTAATGTGGAGGCGGAGCTTTAAAATCTGGGTCAAGGCAGGGGTTGACCAATCAGGAAGAAGAAATCTGGTTCCGGAAGCAGGGACTCGACATGTGATCACTGACTTTTCACACAATAAACAAATCATCCATGAAACAAACAGCCATTTCTTCAATCTCATGGACTGTTTATGTGACAATTTTTACACCTGTAGAATCTTAAAAATGTTTGATTTTAATACAAACAAATAGAATATTTTCCCTTTTTTCATTTCTGCTGGTTTGTTTTTTTCTTTTTTTTGTTGTCAACAAGGTCAGTTTTAACACTTTTAGTTGAAGGTTTAAGTAAATTATTTCAGTCTTTCAGCCATTTTTTAGTCTATAGTCTTGCAGCAGATTTTAAATTATTCAGATTGTCTTCCTAAGTTTTTAAAAATCTCAGTAAAAAAAGTAGTTATTGCTCCAGTGGACATGCTGAATAAGCATCCATCACAAAGAGAAACAAACATCTGTTTTCTAAAGATGTTGTCTTCTTTTTTTATTCACTTCTTTCAACTCATTCATCTCTTTGGGTTCATCCAGCCGAAGATTTAATCCCTTCATACACGCACAGGTTTGTTTTTATATCCCTGAGGGGACCGTAGATTGACTTCCATTCAGTTTTTTTTTTTTGGTAATTTTATTGCCTAACCCTGCCAATTTACCCTAAAACTAACCCAAACTCAATTCACACCTTGGTCGTGAACTGAACCCCAACTCGAAATTAGCATCCGTACCCGTGGAGACTGGGCTTTGGTCCCCGCAATGCATGTTTGGTCCCCACAAGGCTGCCTTTTTCTGAAAAATGTTTCCCGTGATGTGGTAAAAACGTAAACACACACACACGCACGCACGCACGCACGCACGCACGCACGCACGCACG